TCTCAATCCAATTCAACTGCAAAGTTAGATAGGTGAACTCTTATTATAATCTAACTACTCACAATCCATTTGGACGCCCCAAGGGTTAAGGACTGGATCCTAACCCGATCCAATTTCCAACAGATTAGTACATGGTTTGTATGATCAACCATTAGCATAGTACCAATAATGTTAAGACTTCAATTTTTGGTAACCAGTGAATTGACTCCAACTTGCTGCTTCAGCTGTCCATAAACTTTGAAAATTCACGTTAGTACTCTTAAATTGACTTGATTATGTGCAAGTGCAAAACAGTGTCAAATTTGTTCCAACGTCATAAGTGAGCAAACGTAGTAGACTAAATCCAACATCAAGAACATATAATAGAGACTGGTTGAAGTTTACAGTCTCGTAAAAGGATTTTCGTTTGCTCTATGCCTCTACGTTGGGATGGACATTCTCTCGGATATATTTTTTCTTTAATTTTTTTATTGATGGATCATCCATTATTAATATCGTATCAATATTTATTATTTTTATAAATATTTTTATTACTGTTGTTGAAGTTTTTACCATTGTTGTTGTATCAAAAAAAATAATAAAAATACCCACAAAAATAATTAATTTTAGAGGTACAATATCAAAATTTTTTATTCGTTACCGTTGTCAATTTGAAAGCTTGATCATAGTAGGTGACTGATGTATTGGGTTGACAAAATTGTTCATAAAAAATGAAAATGACATGGGAGGCGGCAACTAAACTGGTCATCAATCCCCGGTTAGGCATTGGGAATTTTATTTTTGTAATTATTGATTAATCTGAAAACATTTGGGCAGTTGGTGCATTTCTTCTCTCCCATATATCCGCTTACTAGACGTTCTACTCTCTCTCTCTCTATATAAAAAAAAATTATTAAGAAAACTAAAGATTCATTTCAAAAAATTAAACACCCACAATGCCTAAGGTAAGGATGACAATCAAACCCTGTTGTGTTATTTCAGTTTCATGTCAAAAATATCTCAGCCCTAATACGAACTATTTAGTTAATCATGTCAAAATGGTTTAATACAAATACTATTTACTTAAAACACCAATAGTTAGAGCATGATGCGGGTAACACATTTACTAAACCAATTGTATCCATGTTGACATGACTCGTTATCAACCTGATCAATATGTTTGGTACATGAGTCACGATTAGATTGTGACGACTCTTATAATACAATCAATAGGATGAAAATGACATATTTAACGTGTCTAAATAACTTTAACCTATTAAACCCAAATAAATTCTCATTTTTAATACAAATTATTCATTCATCGACAATTTACATCTATAAAAATTTCTAAATTAAAAGTTAAATAGGTGCTCAAAACCATCCCATCCAACACATGAAAAAAGTCTGACCCAAAAAAAACATATGACAAAAGTTAAAGAAAACCACATTTCATACTGTCAAGTATCTTACTTAGCACAACAAATCCAAGTAGTTAAACAAAAAGCTAATCCCACATAACATAACACCACAAATTAGTTCACACTCCCGGCCAATATTGACATTTGAAATTCTAACTAAACTAATATTGACAGTAATTAAATTTAATATCTCACCAAGTCACACAAATAGTTCAAGTGTATCATGTGAATTATACAATTACAACCTTAAAACACCTAGAGCAAAAAAAAAAATTACATGATTGTATCTCCACAATAATAATCAAAATGGACACATCATTGATGCTAAGTAGAGAGAGCATAATCAATCAAACTCGTCAATCAAAGGGACCCATACCCAATTAATCAAAATGATTAACACAGAGATTTCAAAAGGTAAAGCTTTGATAGAGGAGAGAGAAATGTAAGACCTTGGTTGTCAAAAGATGTTTCTAAAACTGTATTAAACAACCGATGTAATTCAACTACAATTAAACAACCGATGTAATTCAACTACAATTAAGATTAATTGATTGTTTATTTTTTTTTATATAGTGCCTGAAGGCCAATGTAACAAAAAAAGTCGATAATTTTAAGAAATAAAACAACCGATGTAAATATCCACCCATTTTAAACAACCGTGCCTGAAGTTTTTTATAAGTTATAATCGTGTTTATAAGTTACAACCGTGCCAAAATTTTCCCAATTTTTTTCCTAGCAGCACGCAAATCTCAAATTGCAACATCAATTTTCAATCGCATTGATCTCCACATCAGGCAAGTCGCGGGTTATAGATCAATTGCAATCTATAAAATAATAACCAATTTCATTTTGGTTATTATTGTGGGGATGCAATCATGTAATTCAACCGATGTAAAAGGGATTCGATTTATATCCTAACATCACGGGCCATCCCTTTTATATTTTATAGATTTCCCTAACATCACGCAACTTGATGTCCACATTTTATAACTTTAAACTACTGGTGTTTAAAGTAATTACCGTGTCGATGTCTGGAACTTTATAAAGTTATAAAAAATTAATATTCAAAGGATGAATTTTGGGCGTGAAAGATTACCTCTGTGTGGAACGTGTGAGAGAGAGAGAGCAATTGAGATTTACGTGATGTTAGGGAAAGACCGGAGAAAATTTAATTTAGGGATATTAATTTTGGAAACTAAAATTGTTGAGTTGGAAATTTTTTTCAAAAGTTATTTTGGTACATTGGATTGAAACGATATGAGATGTCAATAGCTCGAGACAGTTTGAGATACCGTCGTCCGTTAGATGATGTTTTTTTTGGTCACAAAATGATCTAAACCACTATTCATCTCCAAAATTCAAATTCGTTCTACTTTATTATATAGATTTGTCTCTCTTCCTATATGTATGTATATATTTATATAATAAAACATGAGTGTGTTTAGATTTTATTCCAATCATATTTTTCCCCTCAAAACCATCACCAATCACTTTTCTCACTCATCATTCATTTGTCAGACTCAAACGTCAAATCACATCATTTATTTTTATCATATGTTTAATCATTTACATATTTATTTTCTCAAAATATCACATAACTCATTTATATCATATATTTAATTAATTTGTAGTTAATATATTTTGAAAAAAATTAATATAATGGGATCGATTTTTTGGACGTTCAAATTTTATATTTTATCGTGCCTTCAAGCACGGGTTATGACTAGTATATATATATCTTCTTGTCTCTCTCCCTGTAAGTATGTGGTGTATATATATATATATATATGTTTCTGTCTCTCTCCCTATATGTATGTATGTGTGTGTATATATATATATTTTCTTGTCTCTCTCCCTCCAAGGATTGTTTTTTTTTTTGGGTGGGTGGCTGGGGTTGGTGGGGAGAGAGGGGAGGGGGGGGGGGGGGGGGGGGGGAGATAGGAATGTTATGGTGGTTTTAACCGTCCCTAGGAAGGCCAATGTGGATTGGTCAACAAACAACCAGGAGACAGAGAAATTTGAAGACGTTAAAGATTTTTTATGCTTGACACGACATAGCCTCAAAATTGGATTAAGCTTTGATTTGACTGATAATGATGCTGGCTAATTACATGCAAGGATGAGCTTTCAATAACCCAACTGCTACAGGTTCACATAATTATTAACTATATAATGATGTACATCCACCTCCTGTATTATATATCTACATAAATATACTATTGACTAGTCGACCATACTTAATAAATCTGTCAACACAAACTCGGTTATAGGATACAACTAAAATAAAAAAAAAAAAATCTATAAACCTTACTATTTGGTAGCGTGAATGAAAAAATCACATAAAATAAGTTCAATGAATATTTATAGTTATGAAGAGAATACAAACAATTTAAGTAAGATAAATATGAAATTATATTTAATATAGTTACATAATTAGATTATTTTATTATATTTTATCAAATATTTTAGAAATAAATAATTTCAGCCCGAAGTTATTCCGACCATGCATTCATTGGTAAGATAAGAGTAAATTCTTACCAAAATGAAGTTTATGTAAACTAAGCTTTGCAACATAATGAATGATGATTTTGTCATATACTCTCTAATTGTAGAGATTTTGTATAGAAGTGTATAAACTAACTTATGCATACCTTAACTAATTCTTTATCTGGTCTAGTTAAAGGTAAATCATTTACGTCGGGACTAAAATATTTATAAGAAATAAATTTTTCATTATCTAACTAGAAGGAGTTGTCAAAATTCAAATTCATAACGTTTGAATTTACAACTCGTCTCTGTTGTCACTTACGTTGTCCCTTAAAATTATAAAATTAGCTTTTGACGTGGCAGGAAGCACACAATAATGAGTATTTATAATTATATACCCTCAAATCCTCTGTCATATAAGAAAGGTTTCTTTTGTGCGAGTCAAAATTACAGTATAGAAATTAGTCTTTCTATGTGAGATATGGGTTATACCACCGCCGTCAACACAACAGAAGATATTGCTTCAAGATATGTCTAACTTTTTGACTTATTTGTTTGCACAAAATAGTGAATTTTTAATATTTAGTAAACCCAAAAGTAGAATGATCTACGAAAGGATGGGAGGAGAACCCTAATAGTGGTACATATTTACATCCCCAATACACAATATAAATATGTAATAATCCCATGCCATACCCCGTAATCCTGTTGCATTCTAATATTGCAAGGAACATTCATTCTCATAGACCTATGTAAAATTTTTGTTAACCCAGTAAATTGTGTGTTCTTTACCTAAGTAAATTTTATTCTCGTTAGTTGTTCATGATAATGCACATTCACAACATGACTGTATGTCACAAAGGTCAAACCCAATGAATTACAATCATCAAGTTTTCCACAATGATTGCGATTTAATAGTCAAACTACGGGAAGTTGTTAGAAGTAGGTTAGATAGTTTATCAATGTCAAAGATGAACAATCATAATTTGTACATAGTAGGAGAAAATAAACAACTAAACATGTAAGGTGAAACAATTGTGGGCATACCCATGTATATATTGTTAAATTCTTTATTTTATATTATTTTTTGAACATAAAAATACAGATAAATTCATACTACTCTATAGAATAGCAAATTTGCTTGAAGGCAGCTAAATGGTCCCGGAATAGAGGTATGAAAGCATCTATGCTTCCATCCCCAATGAAAGATGGTAGGAGAAACAACATGCCCTCTATTGGGGAATAAGCTGGCATGAAAATGTAAGGACATCCTCCTCCAAAATCTAGGTCATAAAATGGAAACCTTAGCCAACTATCAACCTCCAAATTAGGGCACAGAACAGACTCAATAACATCAGCTGTGGAACTAAGGTCTTCTTCTTTCACCTTGTAGCTTGCAAAGTCGATAAATGATTTGAAGTAATCATTGTTCACCTTCTCCACAGCGTCATGGATGAGCTTGGCTGCATAGGGCAATGGCTCACGCAAAAGGTCCTTTACCTTTGTGCGTGCGAACGCCCAGAGCACGAGGTTTCCAAAGTACTCATTGGGTACTCTAGGGTTCAATCGCGTACGACCATTGACAGAGATTCTCACTTGAGTGGTTTCAAACGGGCTCAGGGCTCGTGCCTTTGTGGTGGCTCTCCACATATGAGCTATGAGGCTCTCAAAAGTGCTATAGGGTTTGTTTGAGCCATTCATTGAGGAAGCTTTGGCCTTCAGCTTGCTAAGAAACTGTAAGGTAAAATGAACTTTGTGCACCACAATTTCTTGATCTTGATAGATAAAATCATCGTGAAGAGGATAAATTTTATCGAGTTTCTTCTTCATAAACTCCACTCCTCTATGATCAAATTCGAAATGAGGCGGATCTCGTGGGGAGAAGATGGTTCGATCATGGTAAGGGAGAGGACTAATTTCGAGTCCTCGACAAGCTTGTCCCCATGCAACCAAGAAATTGCTTGTGGATTGTCCATCAGCTACAAGGTGGTGTGCAGTGAACCCCACCGCCAATGAGCCACAAGTGAACCTCGTGAGCTGAACTTGGACCAACTCCACCACACCCTCTAATCTAGGGTGAAGACTTAGTAAAGACTCTGAAGGCTTCAATGGCATGGCTTGATTAAGAGTGCTATCAACCGATGCCTCAACAAACCTCACACCTTCATCATTCAGAAGAATGACAGGTTCACCATTGTCATCTTTACCAAACCTTCCAGCCCACTCTCTGTAAACTGATAAGGCCTTTTGAAGCCCCAGCTCTAGGGTTATATTTGGTGGGGTTGGAGGACGATAGGCATAGATTACTGCTATATGGGTATCGAAAGTGACCTTATCGAAGACGCTTAGAGGAATGTGGTTTGTGGTTGGGGGAGGATAGCCTTCGTAAGAGGGTTTGATGATTCTTGAGCTCTCTTCTCTCACCTTCATGGTTAGGATTTCTGCTTTTTAACTATGTGGGGAAGACAAAGGAAGGTTTGGTTGAGTTTCATGAGAGCTTGGCATGGGTTTTTAAACTGAAATTCTATGCACCAACTCAAATGTGGGGTTCACAGACATGTTTGTCTCAGATAGAAAATTATAGAAGTTGCCTACTAAAAAAGTCAGTGGATTACCAAAATCTTCTCATTTGTCTAGGTTCGAAATTGAGCAACTTTGTTTCGTGCGGTTTGACTTATTGGCAAGTTTTGCATTTGTAATATTAATATTGGTAGGTTTCATTCGAATTATAGTATATCATCCAGGTGGATCGATTAATATAATCTGGGGTAAAATACACTTTTAATCCTAAAAGTATGTGTTTAATGTCTATTTAGTCCCTAATTTTTCAATTGTGTTTATTTGGTCCCTAAAGTTCCTAATTTGCATCTACGTGGTCCAATTCCAAACATCTGTTAGAAAATCCTGGCGGTTCTGATCAAATGTCAATCACAGAGTTCCTTATTTTTTGTGTATTTAATCCCTAATATTCGTAATTTGCATATATTTTGTCTCTAAAGTTCCTAATTTATGTATATTTAGTCCCATGTGATTTGTGCTTGACCAGATGCGTTAATAATTTATTGTCGGACTTTTGGAAATGGGCCACATAGATACAAATTTGGAACATTATGGATCAAATAGACACAATTAAAAGGTTGGAGACCAAATAGATATTACATAAATACTTTGGGGGAGTAAATGTATATTTTATCCTATAATCTGTAGGTGGAATTAGACACATTGTGACAAATAGATTACAAGCCAGGGTGGCAGGGTAGATTAATTCATGGATTAGGGCAATATTCATATCCATAATTCCACCCATAATAAGAACCCATAATAGAAAAACAAAATCAACAAGCATGGGATTGGGCTTCAATGGTAATTCGTGTGAAAATTCATAATGGCACACCCTGCAATAAATTGAGTTGAAAAAAAATGAAGAAAAACAATAAGGGTAAAATATATTTTTAGTTTCTAAAATATGCGTGTAATGTCTATTTGGTTCTTAATCTTTCAATTGTGTCTATTTCGTTCCTAAGGTTCCTAATTAATATTTATGTGATTCAATCCTAAAAGTCTGTCAAAAAATAGTTAACGTTTTTGGTCACGCGACAATTATGCGAGACTAAATATACACAAATTAGGAACTTTAGAGACCAAATAAAAACAAATTAAGAATTTTAGTGACCAAATAGACAAACGTTTGAGATTGGACCACGTAGATACAAATTAGAAACCTTTAAGGCCAAATAGACACAATTGAAAGTTTTGAGATCAAATAGACACTAAATACATATTTTGGGGACTAAACATGCAGTTTGTCCAAACAATAATTTCGGCTTGATTGCTGCAAGACTTAGCTTTCGGAATTGTTAGTTTTTTGGAAACGTGGGTATGAATTACACTTTTTACTTCAGTCCGCAGTGGGGGATCAGGATTCATATTGACAATAAGTATTTTCAGATATAGAAATATTTTTTTTTCTTTTGAATATCAGGTTTTATAGTATGCAAGAGCTAATTCGTGCTTGAAGGCAAAATACAACGTAAACCAATCGATTAATTTTAATTTTTTTTTTAATTTGCTTTAATTATAAATTCTTGAAAGAAATGTTAGTGACCGTTTGATGAGTCTATTTAAGATGATGAGTTTATTGAAATCGACCATATTTTATATTATAGATATTTTAGCCCTAAATTTCACGAAAGCTTTTTGCGCGGAAAAGAGATTATTTATGTGTTTAGCCTAGCTACATGAAGTAATCAGCCTTATGAGCTCATAATCTTCAATTCCCCATATTGGCAAAACCCTTTGAATACTGCATGGTGCATCAACCATTAACAAATTTAGCATAGTACCAATAATGTTAAGAGTTCTATTTTTGGTAACCACCTTGTTTATATTTCATGACCATTAATTACAGGGTTCAGTTCTCCTCCTATTTCACAAGAATTAGAGAATTCTCTAATACTTATTAAATACGAAGGTGAAGTTAACCGACTCCAACTTCTTGTTTCATACGTCCATATAATATTATGAATTACAGAGTAACATATATATATATATATATATATTAGCAATTATCTGTGCTTGAACTCACTCTAGAATACAAAAAATTAAACATTAATCGTAAAATAACATTTTTTTTCTTTCTTTAATTATGCAATTTAAAATTAAAGTGAATATAGAGAAAAGAAGAGAGAAGTGAGTGTGGATTAGTGGAGTTGTTTGATATTAGGGAGTGTGTTGATTGTGTTGTTTGGTATTGGGGGTCATGCAGATAATATGATATTTTCGATGAAGAAAAAAAAATTAGGATTAATTTTATACCATTAGATCAAAGTAAATAAAAATTTAATTAATTTTAACCGTTGTTGTATTATACATTGAGAATTCTATTGGCCTGGGAAGAGGTGCAACAAGGCTCCCGAGACTTGGTGGAGGGTTTAACCAACCCAACCCGTGGACACTTGTTGTTGAGCTAGTTAAAAGAAAGAAGTTGTATTTTCACTAACACCTACAGGTTTTAGTTCAATGGTAACGTTTTGATGCAACAAATTCAATTTCTTAACTCTAATATTAGATAGATATATTAGATAGATATATCAAATTACAGATTTCATGAAAAATAATGTCAAATTTGTTTCAAAATTGTATCAAAGCTAACGTAGTAGACTAAATCCAACATTAAAAACATATTATAGCTACTGAGTGAAGAAAGATTTTCGACCTGTGTGTACCTAGTTTGAGTTAATTGAGAAAAAAAAAAAGTTCAATGAGATTAATCGTGTCAGCCATTGAAAATGACACGGGAGGTAACATCTAGACTGCTCATCAACCAACCCCTGGTTAGACATTGGGGAAATTCTTCTTTTTTTTTTTGACACACGAATTGACATCAAGCCAGAATGTATTGAAAAAATCCAACCCTGTCTCTCTCCCTCCCTCCTACCAGCCATTGACTTATACCAGCTTTCAGATGGGAAAGATTGCAGAAACAGAAACCTCATCAAACATTTGTATAGTCTATAACAAACCAATGGGCCCAGAGTTCATGTCCTGAAATATTATGAAAGTATGCACGTAGTACAGAATACAATTACGACTATTTGGACTAATTAATCATATTACGCACAACCAGTTAAAAAAAAAAAAGGAAAGAAAAAAAAACAAACTGCACATAAACGTGAAACGGTCCCTCAAAATTGTCAAACATGGATTATAACTTAGCTGGTTTAAATTATAACACTATTAACTTGTTAACCATACTTAAAAAATGTGTCAACACAAACTCGATCATAAGATATAAACTTAACTATACACGACTATAAATAACTCGACTGAAGATATATGTTCATACATTGAAAGGATAAGAGTGAAGTAAACTATAGCCCAACACGAATCAAACACAACATAATTCCGACATGATTTGACTCATTGTTTGTTCTAATCACACTACTTAACTGTATAGTGTTCTAACCACAAAGTGCAAAACTGTAATGTGTTTTTAAGTTCATGCAAACAAAAAAAAATGAAAATATATTGAAACATCAAGTGTTAAAGGTGGACTTTCAAGAAGAAATTATGAAGTTCATGTTCACAACTAGGAAAAGGAAAGGAATATAAACTAAAAAGTCCAAGTAAATTGATTGATGATTGGATTAACGTTGAACAAAACTCAATAGAATTTGACTACGGCACCCAAAAGAAAATTGGTACTATGCCTTTAAAATTTACTACTTTAATAGGTAGTTTTATAAGTTTTGTGGTTCATTTTACTATTAAAAAAATTATTATTTTTATGGATAATTTATCACTTTTGTAGATGTTTTTATTATTATTGTGGGTTTTTTTTATCATCGTTGTGATAACTATTTTTACTACTTTTCTTCGATAAAAAATAAAATTACCATTTTTCTAGGTGGTTTATTATATTTGTAGATATTTTACCATTGTCATAATAAAAAAATGATAAAAATAATTATCAAAACAAGAAAATATCCACAATGATATAGGTCTAGAATTTAATTCTAGGTTTAACATCAGATCTTATAGGTGAAGCACATGGTCTGGTTTAAAAGTCTAAGTTTATAGGTGAAGCCAATCATAAAAAAGTTACTACAAACGATGAAGTTTAGAAATGTTTTTCAAAACAAGGACAAGAGAATGATTTCTCCACTCTATCACGAAATTAGTTGACAAATATACTACCTAAATAACGTAGACAACTCCAACTCAATATCTAACAGGCTGTCTTGCCTCAGTGTTCACCTTTCTTTATGCATGGTAAATAAATGGGAATCAGAATAATTCAAGTAAGATACGGTTGGCAAGGGCCTCTTGACTATTTGTGTTATGCCGACCCATGATCTTGTAGGAATGGCTGCGGATGCATTGAGATTGACTAGAAGAGCACTTCAATTTTAAATTTCACGTTATATCATTTATTTAGCTTTCTTTTCACCTCTCTTTTTCTTTGACCAACGCGTTTTCAAACCAGTCAGTTCTCCCTTCCTAGTTCTCGGTCGGTGATAAATGTATTATTAGGGTTCGGTTGTCAAAGTTGCCTTAAACATGAAAATGATATCGAATTTTAGTATTTTTTTAGTACCAAATTACGAAGGATTTATTTCTCATAAATACTTTAATCTCAAGATAAATGGTCTATTTTTGATCAGATAAAAAAGAAATTAGTTGAGGTTCGCGTATGCTAATCGGACACTCGAACACCTCTGAATGTTGAATCAAAAATTATATATGGAAATGACATGAGAGGTGGCATCTAAACTGTCCATCAATCCTTGATTAGGCATTCTATAAATAACTTTTTTAAAACACTCAAACGAGATCAAGATAGAATGTATATAGGTGGTGGTTATTGTTGACTAATAAACAAATAATTGGGGAGTTGGTGTATATTTGACTCCTCGAATATCCAACTTGGA